ACAATTAATTCCATTCTTTATATAATTACATCCGCATTTTTTGTACCAGTTTACATTATTCAATACCCTATTTCTCTCATCCCAGCCCTACCCTCATTCCCTTCCCTGCCCCTTTATTCTTTCCTCAAATTCTTTCATCTGTCTCTCCTTCTCCATCAACCTGTCGGACATGCTTCAAGGGAGCCCTTCTACCCGGAGTTTTCACTCCCACCGTTTCATTTTCTCCGTCACATATCCACATTTTCTTTCTTCCTAGTCCGAATTTTCACTAGAAATTCTCTTATTGCCAGGTCCTGGTAATAAAAAAGTCGATAAATCTTGTACCTAATCTAGTAAATTACTTTCTCTAACAAATTGTGTAGCCAGTTTTAAGTCATGTTTGATACCTAAAAATGCTTGATACCTTGATGATGCTTGATACCTAAAAAATCGATTGACGACAAAACGTCCCTCTGGCCTCCGTCCGTGGTCAAAGCTGGCGCCTAAATCATTCATCCGAAATTGGCATTCCTCGATCAATTTAAAAGAACTCGACGCACTCCGAGTTTGGAGCGGATATTTTAATTTTAATGGCACTTTATAAGGACACTCAACATTTTGATAATTTTCTCAAAAATGTCTCAAAATATTTTGATTAAATGTGTCCTCAGATAGCATAAAGAACTTTTAAGAGAATGATGCGGGTATCATGTTCAAATTAATGTAATTAATAAAACAAAAATTTTCTGAAAATCGACTCCACATTTTTTTTTCAATAGAAAAATGATGAGTGTTGGCGACGACAAACCGCAGGATAGAGACCATGAACGTCTGCTCCAACATGTATGTCTATGTCACAATACGCTTTTGTTCATTGAATTCAATTTGTTACATATCAACAATTAAGAAGAAATTTAAAAAGTGTATTTATATTCATTTGCTCTTATTAGTCTATTAATCAATAGTATTAATAATTCACAACAAAATGTTTGAGTAACCATCCTCTTACTTTAGCAGTTATATTAACAAAAAATACACGCATAGTTTAAACATTATGATCTAACTTAACATGAAATTGGGATCAAAATTATTTTGTAATTATATATACTAAAAAAATAATTGTTTGGTAACAATGTTTTCCACATTTGAAAGAAGCACCTGTCTTTGCTAATTTTATGTAAATTGACATGCAGTTCAGATGTCGCGTCTTAAGATGTAGCTTACATGCGAGGCACACGCAAACTAGACACGAACTTCTCGCTCACTGCGTGTACAGTTATGCATGACACCGGCTGACTCAGAATCTACTACTCCAAAAGCCCTGTTTTATTTAATGCATATTGCTATTTTCTCAATGTTTATGCCAACTTATACATTGGAGATATGAGTTGCAGTTATTTTTGGAGCCATCATTTCTAATTCAGCATAAAATCTTTTGACTAAAATTAAGTTAGGAAGCGCACTTTTAACCACAAAAATAATATTCAAAGAAAATATTTGGAATTTTTCGGCGAGAAAAATAATTATCTCACTCATTGCTTGAAAATGTTTAAGAAAACATTCATATGTTGATGAAATATTTAAATAATTACTTAGTTTTTAAGCCAACAATTCTTAGATTATTAAACAATTCTAGATTTTTCATTTCTGAAAAGATTAACCAACTAATTTCAATCTCTGAGCTCTACTAGAGAAAGATGAAGTGATACATCAACAATTTCGATTGATTATATTGAAAAAACAATCATCAACAATCTACAAGAAATAATTTAATTGTCTCAATTTTTCTGAAGATATAACGGTTAAGCTGCAAAGTCGAAACTTCAAATATCATTTGTGGCAGAGGCCATTTAAATCATTACTGCAAAAGTCAATGGCAAGAGTAAAGGAAAACTAAAATACCTCGAAAACGAAAACCAATAGAAGAAATGGGCTTGCAGCACTTAAAATAAATAAGATAGTAATAACTGATGATAATTAGATAAAGTAACCTTCATAATTTTTCACAATTATCAGGTATTGAGGTATCGTAATTGTGGTTGTTAATCAAATTTGTATTTCCTTCAGATACCCGAATTAAACTTTTTACCTTTAAAAACTTCAATAAATTACCACATTGATGAAACAAAGTAAAAAAACGTAACCTGAATGATTCATAAAGTACTGAAATAAAAGATCCACCCTTCACCACGAAAATGGGAAAGTGTATATGAGAGAATGTTACATCTGAACAATAGATAGCGGCGTAATAAAGAAGTCGAAAATGAGAGTTTTTTCACTGAACATGTAGTGGAGAAATTCATATAAGCTACATGTGTCATGCTCTTCTGACTTTTCCGTCACTTCTAATGTAAAGAAGACAAGTAGGTCACATTCTGACGCAGTCAATGAGAATTCTTGTATCTGTCAAACATCCGGGCATACAGATTGCCTAAGTATTACGAGAAATTATCACAGTGTAAATGCATGTAACACCGATTCATGCAAATTTCCCTCATATGTTCATTGGCGATAAGTGATCATTTTCGACCCTGCTACACGCCCTAGATTTTTGTAACATTTATTCTGAGACACCTGTTTTGATACACCTACCCACCATTTTTTGTAGCCACGCGAGTGATGCGCCGTGTAGCATTTCGTGGAAATCGCCCTTTGTTTACGCCACTCATTCGCCCTTTGTTTCCTTTTGTATTTACCGGATCGATTCCCTCTTGTATCGGTTTACACGGAGCTTGCCTTTACTTCCATTCGACCTTTTTTTTTTACCGAAGGGCCCGGAATCCAATGGTTCGCCTTTCCTTTACGCTTTTATACCAGAATAGTATTGTTCTTTCTTTCTCTCTCGGAAAGGGATTTCCACGACTAAACCATTTCTCAGATATTAAAATAACGTATTTCTTGAACACAATATGTTAACAGTTAAAATATAATGGCCGACGAAAAAGGTTGCTGCAAATGTAACGAAAATGAAATTGTTCTTGTACAAGAGCCTCAGAAGCTTATGTCCGTTTATGTGTGCGCACGTGCGCGCTATTCATGGGATAACATCTCATCATTATCACGAGTTAAGCAGGATAGTCTTTCAGATTTACCCAATTTAAACGGATCAGTTATTGATATACATCGCGATGCCGCATAAAGTAATGAAACATTTGTGAATCCTTAATTAATTTCATTAATGAAATATTGTACGAGCTTTTAACGTATCATCAGCGAGGAAGCTGATACATTATTTTCATCATATTTCATTTAACAGTTGATTGATTTCGTAAATTTAAATTGGTCTCAAGCATATTAGAACTACTTCTTTCGGGGCTAAAGGCCCTTGTTTTGATTCGCTCGTAAATAAATGGATAACCCGCCGAATACATACTGGAGCACGTCTCCGTTGAGCAGAATGGATTGAGGTGATGACCCTCTCGGTCATAGGCCTTCTAATCTTAGACTGAGTCATTCGTCTGCGAAGCGACCTCAAACAGCTGTTTAATCCTGACCAGACGTCAATGTTCGGGAAGCTGTAGCGTCCAGAAAACATTGCCCTCTCTGACATGCAAATTCTAAATAAACAACAGTGATATTGACGAAAAATAATTGTAGGGAACTGAATCATTTGGCACAAGTGATGGCCTTCCAGTTTCACTCAAAAATCTTTTACAATCTAATTTTGATGTGTTCTCAGCATTTCAAATATTATTTGATCGGAAGGAAACGTTTTGTGTACGGGACCGCTAAGATTCTATGAATTGCGTTATTCGGGAGGTTTTTGATAAAATTATGAGTCCTTGCTGGGAGGGATGGCGTTTTAATTGTAATTTTATAGGCTTCTTTGCAAATTTTGAAGTATAGAAATTGGCAGAGTTCAACGATTGGTCGCATTCATCCAACGTTGTGAAGATGGTAACCAATCAACTTTACGAGATGTCATCTAAGCGACTGTGAAATATCGAATCAAAATAATTTACTATTATTGAAGTAGTGAGCCATTGTATTGTATTATGTTGTATTGACCAACATATTTATTTGTTCTCGAAGCTTTTGAGTCTCTCAATTAAATGAGGTCCATTAAGAGACAACCGTTGTTCACTCAATAATCAGTATTCACTCAGTAATAAATCATTGGTCGTTGGTTGAACATACAGCTAGCACTACTCGCACACCTACGTTTAACATTGAGCGGTAACTTTGGGCGGTTGAGTGCCAAAACTAATATTTCACTTTCTTTTGATCATATCTCAGCCTGGAGACATACAACTTTCATTATTTGTCATACTTCAACGTATAACATTTAACTAATAACGTTTATACAACACACGTTTGAGTTTATTTACAGCATGGGGCGTGTGTACGAAAAGAAAACATGTCGTCTACGCGTTTCTTCAAACAGGAGTAAAGCCACGAGTATCACGATCATTTTTTCATCATTTTTCGCCGGTGCAGAAAAGATACAGGCCAGATTGGATGTAATTTGTACGAAAAAATGACGCATGCTTAATTTTTCGGTTCAGATTTCATCCAGTTTGACTACCGCGCTCCTGGCGGCACTTTACGGAGTTTCTCTAGTTTGGTATGCGTGTGGAGCGATATGTAGTGATCATTTTGTAGTTGCCTGAGAGCGTTTTGATGTGTTGAATTGTAATGTGAAGTGGTTATGTAAAGAGAAATAAATTATGCACTGTATTCTAATATTGTCGCATCCGAGCTCAGTCCTAACCTAACCTAACTTAATTTGTTACCACAGATGCGATGTTCAAATGTTTGAACTTCAGCGCTATATGCGGCGTCCGGAGGAAGTATTTTCTTCATGATTACGTACAAAGACAGAAATGACCGTGTAAAACACTCATTCGGTTTCGGCACCGAAACATACTGCGTAAAAACGAACGTCCTTTTCCATCGACTGTACAAACAAAAGATGAAAAAAGGATGCAAAAATGGCCGTGTAAAACAGGCTTGACGAAGGCGCGTCGCTCCTGTGCTCGCAGGTGGAGGAGCTGGTGCACTTCTACCTGCACCTGCGCGAGAGCAAGGGCGCGTCCCCGGCGGCGGACGAGGCGGCGGTGCACCGCTCGCTCAGCATCCGGCGCTGCTCGGGGGCGTCGCAGGGCGGAGCCCCCGCCGCCCCCGCCGCGCCCGCCGCCCCCGCCGTGCCCTGCGGCGGCGGCGACACCGGCCTGTGCGAGGACCCGCGGCTCTACCTCGTGGCGGAGCGCGCCGACGAGTGCCGCGTGCACGCCGACTACGGCACGGTGCTGCCCAGCAAAGTGCCCGCCGGTAAGAATTGTAAACTAGGTTATTAATGAGAAATAAATATATTTCATTTTGCTGATAGAATTTCACCAATTTAAACAAATCAATACACAGAACATTGCGAACAAAATCATTTACATTCAAAATGTACATCCTATGTATAATTAGCGGGTAACTTGTGTGCGAGCGTGTGTGCGTGCAAGCGTCCGTCCCTTACGTCCATCAGTCAGTCATACACTCACGGTTACGTCGCTTCCGGTCTACCAACCTCCTCAGTCTCCTGATAAAAAACAACAGTTTTTCTGGATCAATCCAAAAAAAATAAGAAATTTCTTAAAAAAATGTTGTTAGATGGATTTTTAGCAACAAGAACGCTTTTTGTGAGGAGTTCAGAAACTTCAGAGACGATTAGTAAATCATTCGATTTCATTCGACAAGACGAATTGATTGGTATCTTTTTCTAAGATTACAATCCTAGATTATTCTAGAATAGTCTAGGAGAATTGTAAAAGAGCGCGTTTTTTTGTTTCAGTTTGTGAATGCAATAAAGTATTAAACTATTTTTTTTCATAGCATGAATTGTTATAACTTAATTCATCAGATTGAAGGTAATTTTGTAGTGAAACATTATTTTTTTTAAACATTCAATGGTTACTTTTTCATTTAAATTTTTATGATATAAGATGGACAAACCTGGCAACTGTTGTACATTTCTCTTACTTTTATTATGAACTTTCAAAACTTGCGAAGCACAAATAAAAAACAACACGAAAATACCCACCGGACACGTCACGCTAAGTTGTTGCAAAATATCTGCCATCGTACTTTCTAACGCTTCGAACTTTATTTAGCTGTTTCTTGAAAATAATAAGTCTTTTTTTTCAACCAATAAGACTCAATAATTTATAAAACGATTTAAAATTCCCGCAGGTCCTTAAGCTGTCTTATTCTTACATTGATTGAGAAAAGTGATTGACTCCTTATTGATAACGTGTGCAAATATTCATACCTTCAAATCACCTATCATGAGTATTTAATTTTTGGAGGGGCCCTTACTACGGTAATGCTTAGGGGCCCCTCGATATATTAATACGTGCCTGCCTACTAACCTTTCCAGAGAAATACTTTCTACTGAAACGATTATCGTTCCTCGTCTCTCTCGATTTGCTTTCATATCTCCAAATATGCCAGAAGTGATCATGCGAAGGATGATATGAATTTAAACATTTCACGATCAACATTTTACTGATCGCACTTTAAAATGAATCTCCTAAAGTGCTAGCGTCATATCATTAACTGTAATATTCCCAAATAAAATTAAACCCGTTCATATAATCCAGAAAAAATACTGAAAACATATAATCGTTGTCATCAGCCAGTACTTAAATTCTACTTTCTCTAACAACGTGAATATATGTCCCCATCTTGTAAGCAAACGTTACATTTTTCTATTTAATTATCATCACTGAAATGGTTATCAGATTTTAATAACAAAATACGTTATAAAAGTATCTTGATAAGATATTTAATGTCAGGAATTAATACATAAAATCATTACTTTTATCATCATGCTTGAATAATCACAATCTGTCATTATTGTTTCAAATCGATTACTCATATTGGGATTTCATCATAATCATAAGTATCACATTAATCACATCTTCAGAGTCGTATGACTGAAAATCAATCATGTTCAATTTAATTGACTGATGATCCTCACATCCTTCATCGCACCGTCTGCGTCACAAAAATCAATAGTAGCGTTAATCTATTTTCGTGGGTACAATATTCATTTTTAGAAATTGGTTGACAACAGTTTGAGAGGCTGATTTAGCTCCGATTATTATGTTCCAGTGCATTTAACACACTAAAGGTATTTTAAGCTCCGGTAAAATTAATGGAAGTGAAGGACAAATACATTTGTGCCTTTAGGCGAAAGAATTTGGATTTATCGTCCGGATTAGCAATTAACTACCTCAAAATGTCTTTTTAAAATATGAGAGGTGTATATATCCTGGGTAAAATACTATCCACGATTAGGATTTATGCCAGAATACGAGAGTTAACCATTTAAACAATTTCTCACATACAAGGTATGTGCAAATAATGCACATTTGAAAAATTATCAAAAGACATGGATGCACATCAAAATTTCAAATTACGTTCCTTTTCTAAATTTAGACTGGAAATGGATAACTTCGTCTTAAAAATCGATTAGTGCATCAGGATAAATAAAAATCAGAATGATGGAAAACGTCAAGTAGTAACATGATATACATGTTTTCTTCCATACAACAATCTATTGAAGATGAAATCAAGTATACTAGGCATGCAGAAATTAACTGCAAGATTAGCGAAAGTCCTGAAAAAGAAGGAATACTCATATTTGGATGTATTCAACTTCATATGTAGCAACTTTTTTTTATCAAGACGTGACAAGAGGTATTTTAGAACGTGTAGGGGTTTCGAATGTTTCTGATGAAACACGAGCACAATTCTTGTGTGAGTAAGCATCTTTCACCCTTACTTCGAACACTAACTTGAATTTTTCGGCATGGTTAACGTTAATCATATGCTCCGTAAGGTTTTCTTACAAATTGGACCACTTCATTCTTGTTTTTATATTGTCCAAAAACAACGTTTTTCTTGTGATTATGACTTCTAACTACAGGCCTACTTGAGAACCTCCTCGAATCTCACAGCTTCTTCCACAATTAATACGTCTTTATATAAGCATTACTGGACTTCCATCATTTGCCCTGGCAAATTCCTCCAAATTCTTTACAATTAGCTTCACATGATCACCTGTTACAACAAGTAGACCCCAGCATCCACTCCGGCCAGTCTGAAGAACAGCTATCAATATTTAACCGATTATCTATGTTATATTAATATGCTTTGACACTATCTAATCTAAGAAAGACAAATAATTTTAACATTTCTCAACAGATGATTAGACTAAGTAACTCTATATACAGTTATTATTCATTGTTTGTACAATTTGTATAATTTCTTTAGAATTTGCCTTAGCATTTAATATTCCTATGAGAGAGTTTATGCTTTATTTATGCTTGTTCTATTAAGTTCAATAATATGCCATTTTACCAATTCGTATTCTGTTTGGTTTGTTACGCACTCTGAGATGACAAATACCTTTCCCATAACCGGAGTTTGTCACTTGCTTCCCTCCCGCACTTCCGGGAAACGTCCGCAACCACCAGGGGCGCCGCGCGTCGCCAAGACAAAGCCATTAGCGGAGGCGCATGCGCCAAGGCGAATGCGCGGGAGGGAGTCCGATGGCACGTATGGAGAGGACGTGCTCCGATTTCACGACGCCCAGAGATCTCGCCGGATTCCATTTCACCTGAAGACGCGTTTCCGCGCGCAGCGCTCGCTTGCCTTGGCGGCCGGCCGCGCGCCCTTATGAGGTTTCTGACGTCACAGCCCGCGCCGCACGCCGCTCGTTCAACCGCCGCCCAGCGCCACGCCCGCCCGCCGCGCCATCCGCCCGCCCGCCCCGCCGCGCCGCCGGCCCGGCCGCGCCGGCCGCCTGCCGCCCGCCGCCCCGCCGCCCGACGCCCGCGCCCGCCCGCCGCCGCCCCGCCTGCCCGCCCGCCCGCAGCTCACGCCGTCCCGCGTCCGGGCTGAGCGCGCGCGCGTTTCATACAATGCCTGTTTTTCCCGCTTACGGGGCAGCGCGCCGATTTGGAGCGAGAGGAGGATCGCGGCACGAGAGAGACTGTGTTGTCGCTAGAGAGGGAGTCACGTGTAATGGAGCTGATGAGTCATGCCGCCGAGGGAGGGTGAACGGCCAGGGGGATGAGGAGAGACTAAGCAGAGAGATGCCGGACTTATGGTGGGATACCAATGAGAGATGCAATGCTCGCACAGAAATATCGTGTTGCTTTATTTAACGTGACTTTTGTGCACGTAATGCCTTCTAAAAGATTTGTATGAATTCTTTTCACGAGGGTCTGATATAAACCGTCCAGGAGGGATTGTGCTAATCCTTAGACGCCAAATGTAGCAAGAGAAGCTGTATAACATTATAAGCAACTCTAAGGCCAAGAGGCGCCAATTCCTCGTTATCATATAATCATTAGGTTCTGATCCGACCCGATAACCGGCCAGTGACTCGAAGAAAAGCTACGATAAAAGGAACACAATGCAAAGATAATATTCATCGAGGAAATATCTTGCAATGAATTTTTACTTTTTCAGAATTCCTTCCTTTTGGAAGGAGAGCTTCGAAAGTATTTTGTATCATTGCAAAAGTCGATAGAGATAGGATTTAACTCACGATAGGTCAATCAATACAAGCAACATATGTCTTACTGAACTCTAAAAGTATCACAGTTTTATATTTACATTTTCGAAAGTTGTTAGAAATATGTCTCGTTCACAAATAGTAATGAATAAGGCAAGCGTCCTTGACAAATAATATGTTGGAATCGTACACTTTGTTCATGGTCTTACCACAAATCATATTATTAACATTACACTTTATTTCTTCATACATTGATATGATAGCAAAGTGATTCTTGAGGGCACCTACATTCCCTAACTTTCAATGACAACGGACCAAGTTTTTCATTTTCTCATTATTTTAAAAGGAAAATATTTAATTAAAAATATGTCCAAAAGGGCTAGTGAAAATAAATTCAAAATATTCAATATAATGGCGGCGCATTTTAATCCGTCTTTTTTGTGGGTGTATTGTCTTCGACATTGTCATCATTTGATCACTTACACCAAAAACTCCTGACGAGCACCGTCACATATTTTTACTCCGACCTACAAAACCGTCACTCATATTTTGTTTCACTGGTTAGTTTATTTCCTATTATTTTCTCACTCAACAAAATTTTCTTGAACTTGAAGGAAATAATTATAGTTTGATTTATATATATATGGAGAGAGATACAGCGTATATATGCATATATACATTTATTTATTTAACCCTAAAACAGTTAAAACTGCCTGTGACATACGGTGTGAAGAAGTGTATTTAGTGCACGTTCCAATAATTTGCCAACGCATTTCCATGTTGAATTCTGGATGCCGAATACTGAATGGAGACTGCGGTGCATTTGCAGGCAACGGAGTGATCGCCGCGCCGCCGCACGTGCACGTGCACACGTACGCCCACGAGCACGCGCACGGGCACGGCCACTCGCACCTGCCGCCGGCGGTGGGCGGCGGCGTGGCGGCCGGGTTGCGCGGGCTGCTGGTGGTGCTGGCGCTGTCGGTGCACGAGCTGTTCGAGGGGCTGGCAGTGGGGCTGCAGACCACGGCAGCGCACGTCTACTACCTCATGGGCGCCGTGAGTACCCACGTCGGTGCGATAGCCAACCTGGGAACAGTTACTGGCCTGGGCCTCGACGCAGATAACTCGCCACGATTGTTATCGCGGTTCAGTACGGGCTGTGTGGGTGATAAAAGGGAACGGAATGGTCCAATATTCTTATATTTAAACGTTTACTCACGTTTTAGTTGCTACTCATTTTAGTTGAATGTCAATTGTCACAATTTGCACTACCTCCACAGTAAAGATATTGGGCTAATTAAGTTGAGGAAGTCATGTGATAGAATTAACCTCTTTAAGTTGCTACTTCTGCATTCTACTCACATAATTTTAGAATTACATTAATAATGTTTTTTTTTAACTTTATGGGTACTTACACCGTGTGAATCAAATTAATTAATAATTGTTATTTTTATGACTCCAACGAAGCTGAAAAGAAAACTGTTGTCAAAGATGACACATTTCCACAAAATAATCGTTTTCTTTCCAATCACGTGCGTGTATGTTAAATAAGATAATGTTCTTTATTTGTGAAGTTCTTGCGAATGCATGTAATGTATCAAAAATTGTCCCAAATGATATACATTAGTCTACTTTCATTTAGTACTTATAATGTTGCTAATATTCATGACATTTTTTAATTGGCTTAACATCCATAATTACATTTTCTTTCTGTTGAGCAATGTGATAATGTTTCTGACGTATTTCTGATATTGCGAAGGAAATCCATCGCATTGCATTACGCGTCGTTTTTTCATGTTTTTGCGAGTTGTTTGCCCTACTTTGCAGGTGAACTTTGCCCTAACAGTATATGACATAAACGAATTCTCCTCTGGCAGGGATGTTGAAGTTATCTTTGTCACAATTTCATTCCTCCTTCCGGAAAATATCCGCAACTATTTTCGAAATTTGTTCCAGTGACATTTTATGATAAGAAATGTGCCTTGATAAACATGGTGTATATTTGTTTATTCAATTAACATGCTTAATATGAGATTTATACCCACAAGAAAATAAATTCATTCTGTTGAATACTGCTTTTGAGGGTTAAAGAGTTAACTTCTTGAGTTTCAAAATAATTCGAATTGAGACATTTGTATCCTTTGGTAGTTTCGGCATTAAATATTTTGGATAATATTCTGAATAAAACTCACCCTGTATTTGAAAAGAGCTTCAAATTCTGGAAGAAGATCTGGCACGCATTACTTGTATGTAGTGAAACTTTCGTCAACTATTTCAAAAGAGTTAAATATTCGTATCGCCAGGGCTATGTCACTGTCCTAGTCGCAGTCATCGAAAAACAAACGAGCTTCTTAAAGAGTTGGTTACAGCGTTTTTCGGAGGGGTTTAGCTTCCATTTCGAAGTCTGAAAAGAGATTCTTTCACTGACGTCTCTCAAATTGCTTTTCTTACTAGAATTCTTCAGACAAGTTAGAGGAAGTCATTTGAAAAGTCGAAATAATGTCGTAATTTCAACACATTATTTTATTTCTTTACTGAATTTCTTTAAAAAATCGCAAGTTTTATTAGAAAATAAGGTTATTACTCAATATGCAAAGATTAAAAATATTTTATGTGAATTAATTTGTATAAATGTTTATTATTGGAGTGGAAAATACACATTCAACTAGTAATTAACATCACTTCTCTAAAAGATATAAAATTCGAGAAAAAACTAAATTTTTCTTCTTAGTCTTCAACTAGTCAATGTTTTTCTCCAACTGAATTTATTCACCCGTAGAAGCTGTCATTTAAAAATGTTGTCATCAATAGCACCTAGCGAAATGTTTGCAAAATAAAAGAGGGAACATCGAAAAACAGTTTCTATTAAACCCAATAATAATGTCACTTTTATTAAATCCCTTTCGTTTGTTTGTTCAACTAGTCATTTGCTCAGTACGATGATATCCTGCTCTTATTTCATTCGCTTGTTTTTTTGATTCCTTAAAATAAGGTTATAACAACACGATAAGTGGAGCAACATGCAACCCACTGAACTGTTCTGGGCACATGCCAACGCTAAATATAGTAGATCGGCGAAGACGTCGGAATTACAACTCTAAACGATCAGAAAATATCAGATGTGGTCATCTCGCAGTTCACTTACATTATATGTTATAAGAATTTAATGACAACAAAAATTAGTTCACGATAAATAAGGTCAATGAATGTACAAGTAAGCCAGATTTTGAATTAATTTATCTAGAACAACTTTATTTTTCTATTAATAACTCATGTACTCAAAAATTTTATCGTTTATTATAATTTTGAAATGGGTACTGCATTACAAGGAGTAAACTTTAATCTTTTTTATTTAAACCAGAATTAGAATGAAAATCAGAACTACTTTCTTCCTTAAATACATTATACGCCATAACTAATGCTAACTGTCTTGTTAATTACCGCGTTCCTTTCACGTTTCCTTTCATATTATACTATTGTTATTAATACCAAGTTATTAATTTAGCAATGATTCATGTTGAATTGAAGTCTAGACATATCATGCTCTAATAACAAACTTTGCTTCTCTTGTTTAACTGCCATATGAAACTACAGGTAGAGAACATCGAAATAGGACAATCTAATTTGTAAATTGAGGAAAACGGAAAGGTCGTGCGCTAATGCACTAGATTACTGAGTAATTACCTCCAATGTGTCTACAGAATTAGTAGGCTTCTTAAGCTAATCGAAATATATTGATCACTTTGTACATAAAACAAATACCTATTGTTTGAATGAATGGTAAATGTATCCTAATACAAAGACATTCAGATACGCAACTTCAGAAAATAGCAAAAGAAAATGGATACATCAATAAGAAATATAAAAAATAGAGAATAATACATAACATCACTTAATAAATGATAAATGAAAAAATGTCCAGAGATACGTGGGCAATGTTTCTGCTCTTTGAATACAGAATCGCTTAAACTCCAAACCCATCTATAAATAACATGCTAGAAAATTTGACGGTTTTATACAATTTTCATATTAATATAGGATTCTATTAACAAAAAATGTCTGACATGTGTACATGCTGTCTAGGAAATTTCCCTTTAGGGGTGCATCAAGCAGTTGACTGAATTCTTCATAACAATGCACATTTTAATCTCCCCCCCCCCATCTCCGAACGCGCATGTAACCCGCGAGACGGGCAATGATTCACAAATAGTATCAATAGCTTCAAAAGAACTATAGATAATCGATTATTTCTGTTAGTATATGTTCACCCACGACAGTACCAGAACACGATTAAATGTATGACATGAACACAATTTGTTCCAAATTGGGAACAGTGGTTCGGAAACATTAGAAAATTTGAAAAACGCGTGTGGTCAGATTGTTTAAGCCGAAACAAGGTTTTAAAAGTGGTATTCGCCGGTCAGGAAAGGTCGGCAGTAGCTGGAAGATGATGCACGAGTCGGGCGCCCTTCAACCTCGACGACCAATAAGAATGTCGAACGTGTTTGTGCCACAAACAGTGAACTCAACATTCTGTAAAGATGCACTTAATTAATGCGCCAACCCATTTTTCGATACTTATCACACACGTTTTGTGTCAATTCAGTCACCATTATTCGTGCTCCCCCCCCATTCGCCAGATCTAGCTCTGGTAGATATTTTTATTATCCAAATTGAAAATCACGACGAAGGAAGAACATTTTGAAGTTGTTAAGGTGATTAAAATTAACGTAACGAAGGTTCTGAAAACCATCCCAGAAGATCAATAGTTCTCCTAAGTCATTCCAGTGGAGTGCAAACGCAGGAAAATGTGTATACTACGAGGTAGATATTCTGTGCATTGAAAGAAAACATTTGTTTCTTTACGAAATAAATAAATAAAAAATAAATAAATAAAAAAAATAATAAAAAATAAAAATAAATAAATAAAAAATAAACAAATAATAAATAAATATGGTGCTCTTTAAAGTACCAAATTAATGTATAAAACCAAGAAGCCTGTTGTTTAATCCATCTTGGATCTCATTGCCAACGCAATGAGTGAATTATCCAAGAATCTCGTCCAAGTGGAGTCGTCGAGCAGGCCTTGCGGTGCGCCTGACGGAGGCCCCGTTGCAGGTGGCGGCGCACAAGCTGGTGCTGGCGTTCTGCGTGGGGCTGGAGCTGGTGGCGGCGCGCACGCGGACGCGCCTGGCCGTGCTGTACGTGGTGGTGTTCGCGGCGGTGTCGCCCATCGGCATCGGCGTGGGCGTGGCGCTGAGCGGCGACGGCGGCGCCAGCGACGTGGAGCACGGCGTCGCCAACAGCCTGCTGCAGGGCTTGGCGTCGGGCACGCTGCTCTACGTGGTGTTCTTTGAGGTGCTGCAGCGGGAGCGCGCCGCCGCCGCGGGCCTGGGCCTGCGCCAGCTGCTGGCCGTGCTCGCGGGCTTCGCGCTCATGTTCGGCCTGCTCATCGCAGGTGAGTGACTGCCAGGTGCTGGGCTTCGACGTGCGTATCTTAGTCCGAGTAACTAGTGCTCGGCTGCTCGAAAATTAGGTTACCGCGGGTTCTCTCAACAATTCCACGCGAAAGTCAGAGCAGCACGAACCCTAGCAATGGGACCACAGAATCTTTCCCTCCTCAGTGTTGTTCCCTCTTCCCTTACACTCACACTTCGCATTACACTTCACCACATGTCGCAGAGCTGCCGGGAGCTTACAGCATGTCCAGGCTGAGATGATGCCCCGCTAGGAGAGATACCAGGAAATGAAGCCCTACAGGCTGACATGTAGATCCTTCCAGATTCTCACGAAGTGGGAAATCGCCTCTCTGGGAATTATCTGTCATGAATTTACGCGTCCTAGTTCAAATCATGTTAACTGGCAATATTCACGTTTTCAGAGAGATGCAGTGTCATAAAATTATTACTACCATCTGCAATCACTTAGTATATACGAAAGTGCGAATACTCCCATTTTTTCATCAAAGCCAGTAATTTCGATTCGACCATTTTATGCACTTCAATGCCTTTTTACTTGCTTCTTTCAAGTTAGTTTTCAACTATCGAATCCCAGCACATTCCACCGCGGACTTCAAATATATATTTTAGTTCTTTTTTTTTTAATTTTGTGAAATTATCATCAAAGATTACAAACGGCTGACTATTTCTATAAGAAATAATGTTTGCATGGCCTCATATCGTAAATAGGGAAGGACAGCATTACCTGCAAACTGCAAGAAAAATAGTTTTTCATCGATTAATTATTTCCTCTGAAAAAAATCTCTGTTTGTTCATTTCGTGATTCTGTAATCTACATTTTCAACTTCAGTTCTTATCCCCTCTTGAATCTTATCAGTATTCCTCTTAGGTTAATTCATTGATACAAGATAAATCCTCACTACCTAATAGGCTGTTTTCCACATATGAATGGTTGAAAAACAGAACGGTATAAGTAATATTTTATAAATTCTGAGAAAAACGTGATTATTTTAGGGTGTATGTCATTGGCAATGTATTTTCGTGGTTTTAATGGGCAATGTTGTCGTTTTTGATGATGAAACAAAATACCATGACTTTACGTCGATATTGACTTAAATATACAGATTTCGTAGAATTTATAAAATGTCACTTATACCGTTCTGGTTTTCACCCATTTATATTAAACAACCATTTTTAAACCAACACTCTTAACTAATTTTCTTACATTTTTAAACAAAAAATCATAAATATTAAAATGAATTTTCTTTATCTTGACAATTAGTTTGAACAACGCATTTGATAAATTAATCCCAAAACACATTCATTTCCCGAAGAGCTTTTATTCAAAGTATCGAAGTCCCAAAGCGTAATATGACAGGGCATTCACCTATCGCTATTATTTTGTCATTTGAAGCAGCGTGAATGAGAAGAAACGTAGGGCATTAAACGCTGTCTGTTGTTTCATCATGCTCCAGCCAAGCGTCATGCGAGCTGGACTGCGTCACGCGGGGCAGATGATCCTGAGTTAATGGCAAATGGTTGTCCTCGTTTAATCACGAATATGAACGTTTACCGGCCCTGTCATCTTCCTGACTCTTCCATACGACCCAATATGTTCGAATGAAGAGCGAGGCGTGAAGATGGAAGTTTATGAATAAAAGAGAGAAGCGGGTGATTGCTTCAAAATCATAAAAATATAGCCGGAAACTAACAGAGAAATACTAAAAGGTGTCGTGGGTGATGAAAAATATTTACAAGAGCCTAAACTTGAGGGAAGGAGTTAAAAACAAAAATCTTCAAAACATTTTAATTAAAACACAGAATTTAGTTTTGAGTGTTATTTGTATTGTTGATTACAATATTCTTCATCTTCTAAAACGAAACAACAATATTAATAATTTCTCTAGAAGAAATATATTTTTAATTCGATCAATTCTCCATTTCAGAGTATCTCGAGGGCCTTTAAATGGACAGAGGATATCAATTTGAGAGAAAATTGGCCGAATTGTTTTGGTGCTAGTTCTGATCAGACACAGAGACAGACACAGAGACAGACACAGAGACAGACACAGAGACAGACACAGAGACAGACACAGAGACCAGACACAGAGACAGACACCAGAGACAGGAACACAGAGACAGACCAGCAGAGACAGAACGACACCAGAGACAGACACAGCAGAGACAGAACACAGACACAGACACAGAGACAGACACAGACACACGACACAGACACAGACCAGACACAGACACCAGAGACAGACCACAGAGACAGACACAGAGACAGACACAGAGACAGAAGCCACAGACGACAGACCACAGAGACAGACACAGACAGACCAGACACAGACGACAGACACAGAGCAACAGACACAAGAGACAGACACAGAGACAGACACAGAACAGACAGACACAGAGACACAGAACACAGAGACAGACACAGAGACAGACACAGAGACAGACACAGAGACAGACACAGAGACAGACACAAGAGACAGACACACAGAGACAAGAGCACCAGAGACAAGACACAGAGACAAGACACAGAGACAGACACACAGAGACAGACACAGAGACAGCAGACACAAGAGACAGACACAGAGACAGACACAGAGACAGACACAGAGACAGACACAGAGACGACAAGAGCAGCCAGAGACAGACCACAGAGACAGACACAGAGACAGACACAGAGACAGACACAGAGACAGACACAGAGACAGACACAGAGACAGACACAACAGAGACAGACACAGAGACAGACACAGAGACAGACACAGAGAACAGACACAGAGAACAGACACAGAGACACACAGAGACAGCACAGAGACAGACCCAGAGACAGACACAGAGAACAGACAGACAAGAGACAGACACAGAGACAGACACAGAGACAGACACAGAGACAGACACAAGCAGGCACAGAGACAGACACAGAGACAGACACAGAGACAGACACAGAGACAGACACACAGAGACAGACACAGAGACAGACACAGAGAACAGACACAGAACAGCCAGAACAGACACAGAGACAGACACAGACACAGAGACAGACACAGAGACAGACACAGAGACAGACACAGAGACAACCAGACAGAGACAGAGACAACCAGACAGAGACAGAGACAGAGACAACCAGACACAGACAGGAGCAGACACAGAGAGGAGCAGACATAGACATACAGACGTTTTGCTATCAATCGAATTTTCGGAATCAAGGACCCACAAATTATGAAGTCCGGCTACATGACGTGCTAGAAGGAAGGAATTTAGTACATACAGGAACAATATTTGTCCCCTTTTTCGGTACCAGAGCCCAGCAATAAGGGTTTTCTGTCGAAAGTTTTGATCTTTTCCGGCGCGTGATTACAATATGAGGTAAGAAGAGAAATTAAAATGTTTATGGACACTATACTTTTTTATATTATATCAACGGTGTAACCGATTGAAACATCAAATTAGTTTATTTATAATATTCAGTTCTAGGATAATTCATTGTCCTTTATTTAATCGGTAAATGAGAGCGAACTGAATTTAGGTTTGCGGAGCAAAGAGCGATGACTGCAGCAATGGGTGAATGGGCACGACCTCCGATTTACATAACTCCCTTCCTGAACACGAAATTTTTATATTTTCGTCATTTAATCCCACGTATTGCCACTTTCGTATTTCCGTTTTCACTAATGGAAAACTCAGAAGCAATTATCAATTAGCAAAACATATGAATCTATATAACAAATGCTAAGATCAAAATATTGTTGACTTCCTTCAGAGTCATTTCTGGTCTGGTCATATGCAAAAAAGTAGCCGAATATAACATTAAAAGCTAAGAAAAAACTAAGTAACGATTACATCGACTGCATTATATATATTTTTTTGTATTTAAAGTCGCGTTGACGTTAGCGATCACTATTGCGTTTAACGGTATGGTAACTGTGAATATGATATGATATAGTGATGATAGGGGGTGAAAAGAGAAACAACAAATAAAACCATGCCCGAGGCGGGACTCGAACCCGCGATCCTTCGCTCCAAGTTCGCTCCGGCACTACTGCCTTAGCAATCTCGGCCATCCTGGCCGGACGGATAACATTTTATTTTAGTATAAAAGGGAAGGTAAGAGCTGCTGCACAGAAAAAATAAACAGAGAAAAACTGAATTTAAAATGATGCAAGTGATACAAGAATGAGTAAAGTAACGTGATCAAAGAAATAAAAACAATGCTTCGAAAGTAAGGTTTTGTTGAAACGGTGGGCGTCTGATGAAAGGAAAGGAGATCTGCGTGATCGGGTAAGGAGGATCGTGTTAGGGAAGGGTGGGTCCAGGTCGGAGATGGGGCACGGGGCGATCGCGCGTCCCGGGGCGGTCGAGAGCGCAGCGGCGCGCCCATCGACCGCTGGGTCGAGAGTGGCGGCGTTATCGACCCGACACGGGCCGCCAACCCTCCCGCGGTCCACGACTCGCGGCCAACGGGCCGGCGGAGCCAGCGGGGGCGGCGGCGGCGGCCACGCGCCTCGTAAACGCAGCGCCACGCACCCACTCGCACGCTCGCTCGCTCTCTCGCGCGGTCGCTCGCCCCGATCCATACGCACGCGCCACCTGCGCTGCCACCTGCGCTCCGCCCCGCCACGCCCCGCCCCCACCAGGCCTTCCCCGCCGCCACGCCTGCGCTCTGGCCGCCCGCGCTTCCGGGTTCTTCACTCGCGCGTCCTCAGCCTCCGGCACTGTCCGCAGTGGAAGCCTCCAGGGTTTTCCAATTGGTACATCGATATATGCGTTTCGAAGCCCGATTTATCACTACGCGTTCTTGTGTCTGTTTGCTTTTGGATAAGGGTGGGGAAATAGCCAAAGGGCGTTAAGAGGAAACGCATAGAAGGCTTGAAAATCTATGACGAGTGCCGGAACTTATGAAGTAGCAGAGTCAATTGTGCTTGGACATGAAATTCTATAAATAGCCACAAAGCACAGAGGCGCATTGGTGTTTGTGGTATTTAAA